ACTCTCCCAGGGCCTGATCCCTCTGTGTGTGTGTGTGTGTGTCCCCCCGGATGAGGAAGGACAGGATTTGCCTCGACCCGAATGAGGCTGAGCAGCAGTGGGGTTTAGGCCTTCCCCGTCCCGATGCGTCCTCCTTAGGTCCTCAGTGCCCGAGCCTTGGACCCCAAGTGTGGAACGAAGTCTGCTTGTTCACTTATGCCCAGGGCTTTTTATGAGTATTCTGCAGATACCGTGCATTTTGCTTCCTGTTCTATTTTTGTATCGTCCATATTTTTATCTCTCTGCCTATTTCATTCGTTCCGTTTACATATCCACCCACCTGGCATTCAGGATCCTGGGATGCTTACAGGCAGTTTGTTCCTAAGGTGGTGAGCCCCGCCCAGCATCATTTTTTTCAGGGGGGGTGGGGACAACGACAGAAGGGCAGCCGTGTAAGTCAAATCAAATAAGCTATAATAGACTAACCAAAGTTAAAACACTGTAAGGCTGTTTATATATAATATAAACTGTAAAAATGTTAACGCTGTAGAGGTGGCTGGTGTTTATAGTAGAAAAGCGGAAGGAAGGAACTTCCCTTCTGAAGGAGGCCTCATGCCTCTTCCCCGTTCTTCCAGCCTTCCCAGGCTTAAAGATTATTCTGCCAATGCAGGCTGGCAAAGCCCATTGCTCTTGCGTAGTAGCTGTTGCAAAAACACAGAGCAGTAAAACAAGGTTACGGTGCTATGTTGGGAATCCTTCATTGTTACCCACTCAGGGTAGAATACAGCAACCTACCACCCATTACAGAGAAATCTGGTATTGTTGTTATCCAATGTCCTAGTGGGTTGGGTTTCTTGCTTTAAAAAAAAAGGGTAGGAGGATGGGCTAGGGAGAAATTAAAGACTAGACCTCCCCGCCCCTCTCTCTTTTGTGGGGGGTGGTGGTGGTGTTACCTTTGAATCAGCTGGGGCTACGGGGCAACTTAAGATCTTTGCCTTTTTTTGGTGAGATTTTGGAACGGGTTCGCCCTTGCCTCGTTCCTGGGGGCTGAGAGTGAGTGACTGGCCCAAAGTCACCCATCTGGCTTTGTCCCTGGGTGGAATGAGAATTCGGCCTCCTGGATTGTAGCCTGATGCCTTTACCACTAGACCAAAATCATTTATACGCCATCCAAATACCTCACGCAATTCACACAACAGTTTAACTGGGTTTGAAGTGGGGGGAAAAAAAACCTTCAGAAGAAAGCAATGGCCGATCACTTTCATAACAAGATGTCCCAATTGCTTATGCGGTTCAACTGGATTCTCTTTTAATCCAATAACAATGGATTTCTTTTACCTTTTGTATGTTTTTCTCATATCTCAGGTTTGATATGCTTATAAAATGAAACAGTAGATCCTTATGGTTTTGAACTTGGTTATTTGGGAAAGAAATTCCAGGTTGTTTCCAATAGGTGATTCCCTCTATCCATTTTGGGTTATTCTCTGAATTAATATAATTTTAGTAATTATATAGACATTACTCCTGTTTATGAAATGTAACTGATTATACATAATGCATATATATGTATAACCGAATTGCTAAAATTATATATCTATTAAGCAGCGTGTGCTTCTTACACGCTACTCAAAATAATAGCATGGTTAGGTTTACTAAAGTCCATCTTGAATTCAGTCATGTTAATTTTCTGTAGTCCAATTGCAAAAACTTTCACATAGACAAAGAAACGTGGGAGTGTGGCAGAAGCTTTTTGTCTCTGTCCATCTTGGAGAAATTCTTTCTATCAAACCACTCTTTTCTGAATACGAATAAAAACCAGGAACCTAAGGGAAAGTCTTGAATCAGAAATATTATTCATGACAGGAAAACATGGAACGCATTAAAGCAACATGAACTGCTCCTGAAGGCATAGAAACAGAACTAGGTGAATTTCCATAGTTTGTTGTTGGTTTTTGAAGGGAGGGGGGGGGGGAAAGGGAGACATTTTGAGACATTTGAGCAAATGCCTCTTGATTTATTCTAAGGCAGCTTCTAGAAGAATGGACCGTCATTATCCTGGCAAGCTTCTGTATTGGAAAAGAAATCTTAATTGTGGTTCTCTCCTAAATGCAAAAAGGGACATGGTGGCTCAGTGGCTAAGATGCTGAGCGTGTCAATCAGAAAGGTCGGCAGTTCAGTGGTTCGAGTCCCTAGGTTCGAGTCCTTATGTCACCCAGGGTGAGCTCCCGTTACTTGCCCCAGCTTCTGCCAACCGAAAGCAATTCGAAAGCACGTAAAAAATGCAAGTAGAAAAATAGGGACCACCTTTGGTGGGAAGGGAACAGTGTTCCATGCGCCTTCAGCATTGAATCATGCCGGCCACATGACCACGGAGATGTCTTCGGACAGTGCTGGCTCTTCGGCTTTATAACAGAGATGAGCACCGCCCCCTAGAGTCGGGAATGACTAGCACATATGTGCGAGGGGAAACTTTACCTTTACCTAAATGCAAAAGCTTTTTGCCAAGGGACTCTACCCTGGGTCCAATCCTTGTGCTGAATTCTATGCTGTATTCTGACCTTAACTGTAGAATATGAAATACGCAAGGGCCACCGTCACCACTGCGTAAGCAATGGTACCATTCTAGCAGAAAGAAGCGAGGAATACGATAGTCCATCTTGCTAAGAGCCGGGCTCAAAGCAGTCGCTATTGAGGTAACATGCATAGTTGAAAAGAGTTTCAGTGTCAAGTATGTTACCTTGTTTTTAAAGTCAGGATGCTGTTTAGAGTTGCAAGTATCAATGTTACTATTTTAGTGAGATACCTTTTTAGTAATGTAACGCCATTCATTAAATTCCAGGTCCAAGAATGGTTATGCCTAAACTGCCAAACTCAAAGGGCGCTTTCAGGACAACTTGGGGAAATGGAGAAAATCACACCTCCTGTGTTTCCAAAATCCCCTGTCAGACCATCAAATCCGGTCCTTCAGAGTCAGTCCAAATCTGCCGAGTTGCACCAACAGCAACAGATTTCAGCAAAACCTGCCCTGCGCTCTGAGAAACCAAAGGTTGGTTCAGAAACCCAGAAAGAGGATCCGAAGGTAAAGAAGGAGACACTTTCAGCAAAGACATTTACTGGTCGGATCCAAGAAGAAATCTTTAAAATTGATATTTCAAAGCTTTCACCAGGAAAATTAGCAAAAACAACATCTGTTGATAGAATCATTCAAGGAATTTCAAAAGAAGATTCAAAAGCAGAAAAGGAAAAATTGGGGAAATCATCATCTGCTGACCAAATTCTTAAAAATGAGTCAAAACTGGCTACAATTGACAAGCGTTCACATGATAAGATAAGCATGGAAGATGCAAAAATACCTCTGTCCGAAGACTCAGAATATCAACCGGTGAAACTGGCCAGAGAGGAACCGCGGAAGGAAGAGCCAGCCGCTCAAGTCAAATTGCCACCTGCTGATCAGAGTCAGGTGGATCCGGGGACCTTGGAAAAAATACCATCAGCTGATAAAACCCCGCAAGACATTCAAAAGCCGGATCCAAAGATTTACCGAGACAAAATGACAAAAGTAGCCTCAGATGGCGAAATTGTGAAAGCTGAACCAAAATTTCAGCAGGCAAAATTGGCCAAGATACTATCCTCTGATCAAATTCAGAAAGAAGATTCAAAACGAATTCCAGCAAAAATAATGAAAACGGCATCCGCCGATCAGCTTTTAAAAGATTCTGTGAAATTTAAGGAACTAAAAGAAGTGAAATTGCCCAGGGTGGAGCCAAAGTCTTCCGAGACAAGTAGTGGCCAAAGGCCCCCGTCAGAAGCCTCAGACCACCTCCCCACAATCGGACACGTACCAGAACGAGAGCAACTGTTCGAAGAAAGGCCAGAAGCTGGAATGCATGTAGAAACAAAGCAGAAGGAAGAACATCCCACGATCCCATCAGAAACCATTTCAAAAGCTGATAAACTGCCCAAAGATCTACCCATCTCCTTACCAAAGTCTTATCCTGAGGAGACGGTGAGAGACAAAACGGTAAGTGCTTGACATTCCTCTCCTGTTAAGAATTGACAAAATCTATTTCTATGTCATGCCAGAAAAACGATTTGGAGATGTTCGTAGGAGCTACGCTTGATTGAAGGAAGTAATTTACAGCGGGTGGCAGCACTTAGTGAACCTTGGCTGGTCTTGAAAAAGCTAAGTAGAGTTAGAGATGGTTAGTTCCTGTATGTAATCAGAGAGCAAGCTCTCCTCTCCTGCAGCACTGATGCCGTTACCTAACTGAGTAACAAAACGTCTGCAAGGAAACAGCCAAGCTCAGAGAGCACTAAGGACGCACAGTTCAACCCTAAATTATAAATATTCTCTTCTATTGGCAATTCAAAACAGCTATGCACTCTTCTAGCAATTTCTCATGTATGTTGACCTCAATTTCAATTGCACCTTGCACAGTATAACTTCTGCCAAGTGGCACCATTTTTATTTTGTAAAAAAAAAACAGATGAAACATAATAATTAAATAGTTCTGCTTCTCCCTGTAATTTTTTTACCTATAGCCAATGTCTCCAACTCACAGACCAATTGCTTGCTGACCTTCCTCTTGTTCCACACAACCTTTTCTGTTGTTAATTTTGGTGTATATTGCAAGCCTCGGCCAATTCTGAGCCTTACCTACAGATTTGAACTATTCTCTAATATTATGCATATGTTATATGCTTTTCCTTCCCTTTGTAATATCTATCCTTTTTGTTTCACAGCTGATCAGAGAACTCTGTTCTGTGTTTCATCTCCTACTTTATTTTCTCCGTAGTGTCCCCTGTATTTGGCCTGTGATTGTCTTGTTTTTGAGGCCATATTTTTGTGGGAAGGATTTTCATTCATGGAATCCTTACTGCTCTCCCCCTTTTAAAGTCAGCTATTCTGAAATGTAGAATACTAACTTGTTATGAGTCAGAGGCTTGAAGGACCTGAGAACCATCAGCCTCAGGAACCAGCAGGCACCCTGGAATAAGTCAGTGACATATTAAGTGTTGAATTGGATTGTTACGTAGAACATATTTTATCTTCATAACAACTTTTTAGAAAATAACCAACTAAATTAAACTGAACCCATAGTAAATTTAAAGATTGAAATAGTTTTGACCTTGGCTCTTCTTCATGCAGTCTGTCTTCCCTGAAACGTGTTGTTTTTTATTAAAGATGTTTGTAGTGTTATGCAACTTAAAGTATTTTTATTAACTGAATGTGCACCAAAGTATTCTTATACTACCTGTTAAATCTAAATAAGATGCTGGTCCCATTAAATATAGCGCCACACTTTAAAATATTCCTGAATGATATTGAGAACAAGTTATTTTCTATTTAATTGGGGAAAATATAAGTTAAGTGGTATTTTATATTGCTTAAATGCAAAATTAAAAGTTCTAGCTTAACCAAGTTTTGTCACTCACAATGCTTTCTCTTTGGGTTTTCAGAATCACAGTTATACTGGTTGGTGAATTTATTGTTTTGTTATCTTGAAAGCCTAAATCTTAATATGTCTCTGTATGTTTGTGTATGTTTTAGGAAAAAGAAGATGACAAATCAGACATATTAAGTTCTCAGCAGCCCAAAAGCCCTCAAGGCTTGAGTGATACAGGGTATTCCTCGGATGGCGTCTCGAGTTCCCTGGGTGAAATTCCAAGCCTGGTCCAGGCGGACGAGAAGGACGCGCTGAAAGAGTCTTTTGAGAAAGAGTCTCTGTCACAAGGGGGCAGCCCGGCCAGCCCTTCCGACCTGGCCAAGCTAGAAAGCACGGTCTTGTCCATTCTGGAAGCTCAGGTCACAAGCCTCCTCGTGGAGGAGAAGTCTGGGAGGAGCAAAGGCCTTTCAGCTGAGCAGGCAAAGGTCTCCCGTGAAACAGCCCTCTTGCCTGTCACCTCAGAGCCGTTCGGTTCTGAGGAAGGAGGTTTGAGAAAACTGAGCCTTCAAGATGAAGGAGACCCAGAGCAGGGCAGTAAGGAAACTTTGCCCCCTCAGAAAGGGCCCAGGCAGACGGCAGGGGTGGCAGAGAGCGCATCAACCAGGAGGCCGCGCTATGACTCTGTGGAGGACAGCAGCGAGAGTGAAAACTCCCCTGTGCCGCGGAGAAGAAGAAGGCAGACCAGCGCCGGCTCCTCAAGCAGCGATGACGAAGGCAAAGCAGAGGACAGTCCGGGTTCAGGCGATGACGAGGATTTCATTCGGAAGCAAATCATGGAAATGAGCGCGGATGAAGATGCTTCCGGTTCCGAAGATGAAGAATACATCAGAAAACAGTTAAAAGAAATCAGTGCAAATGAAACTCAGAAGAAGGAAGAAGTTAAGATCAAAAAAGGAACAGGTGGAAAACACAAGAGGCTGTCGCGTAAAAGTAGTGCAGGCTACGAAGAGGATCCTGGAAGGCGCCATTCTTGGCACGATGACGACGATGACGAGGCTTTTGATGAAAGTCCAGAACCAAAATATAGAGAGACGAAAAGTCAAGAGGGTGAAGAAATTAGTGCCACCGGAGGTGGGGGTCTTCGCCGCTTCAAAACGATAGAACTTAACAGTACAATTACAAATAAATTTTCTGAAGGATCAGAGACACCCAAGAGATGTCTATACTTTGATGAAGAGCCAGAATTAGAAATGGAGAGCCTTACGGATTCACCAGAGGACAGATCACGGGGAGAAGGATCTTCTAGTCTGCATGCCTCCAGCTTCACCCCAGGTACCTCCCCTACCTCTGTTTCTTCCTTCGATGAAGACAGCGACAGCAGTCCCAGTCACAAGAAAATGGGGGGAGAAACCAAGCAGCAGCGTAAGGCCAGACACCGGACACACGGGCCTCTTCTCCCGACGATTGAGGACTCTTCCGAGGAAGAGGAGCTAAGGGAGGAGGAAGAGCTGCTGAAGGAGCAGGAGAAACAGCGGGAACTAGAACAGCAGCAAAGGAAGAGCTCTAGCAAGAAGTCTAAGAAAGACAAAGACGAGCTCAGAGCCCAGAGAAGGAGAGAGCGGCCAAAGACACCACCCAGCAACCTTTCTCCCATCGAGGACGCTTCCCCAACTGAAGAACTGCGCCAGGCGGCAGAAATGGAGGAACTGCACCGGTCTTCCTGCTCTGAGTATTCGCCGAGTATCGAATCTGACCCTGAAGCTTTTGAAATCAGCCCGGAAAAAATAATAGAAGTGCAGAAGGTTTATAAGCTGCCGACGGCTGTCTCGCTCTACTCTCCCACAGACGAGCAGCCCCTCGGAACGGCCAAGCCAGGGAACAACCAGAAGGCCCTGAGAAGCGCAGAGGAGGTGTACGAAGAAATGCTGCAGGCCTCTCAGGTGGCCAGGCCTGTTTCAGAGGACAGCGAAAGGGAAGAGGTCTTCGAGAAGGAGCCTCTCTATGGCGGCATGCTCATAGAGGACTATATCTATGAATCGTTAGTAGAGGGTGCGTACAGTGGGGAGCCCAACCTCATTTCAAAACAAGAAGAGTGTGAGGAATTTAGCCAAGAGGAAGAGCAAAGCCGCCCCCCAGAACACATCTATGAAGAATCTATGCACAAACCCATTGATAGGCAAGACACCTACTATAGGATAGAGCTTTTGCATTCAATTATGCCTCAAGAAGACATTGTCTCGAGTTCTTACATCATGCCAGAAAGTCATGAAATCGTTGTCCTGGACAGTGGGGCACCATCTTCGGCTGATGAAAAGCAGCTGCTAGATGCAGACGCGGTTTATGAAGAACTGATGAAGCGGCAGGGAATACAGCTGACCCCGGGCTCCAGCCCTACTCAGCCGTCCCCTGAATCAATTTCCCTCACAAAGAGGAGCCTGTCTGGAGAAGCAGGAGATAGTAACTCCCTAGTTTCGAGCACTTCTTCAGCAGTTTCGGACACAACGTCAGTGAGCCCCGTGGTGCTGCCCATTCCAGATGTTAAAATTACCCAGCACTTTACAGTTGAAGAAACAGAGGATAACTATTTTACTGATTATGCCCGTGAGGTGGAAGAAATTATTTCCCAGGAAACGTCCATGTTGACGGACTCTGAGGCCTTAGAAAGTGCCACCCCTGTTTTCCCATCGGATACGTGTTCTCTCACCTCTTCTACGTCTTCTGTTTACACCACTGGCACCCCTTCGCCTGTAGCTGGATCGGACGGCCTTGCTACCATTTGTAGAGACTCAGTAGATGCTCTTAATGGACGATCAGATTCAGATGGGGTCGTTTCCATGGCACAGGCTATTGCAGTCTCCCAAATTGAGGACTACGAAGCCCTTGCATTATCCCCCAAGGAGGCACTCAAAGCCAAAGATCTGACTGATGCCAGTCAGGGGTCAGGTACCTTTCCTGAAACCGACTCCTTTGTATCAACTTCTGTGGGAACAAAACCCACAAGTGTCGTCCCTGCTGCCTTGGCAGAAGATGGCAAAGCTGGAAGAGACGTGGCAAAGTTTCATGAACTAAAGAGACTTTCTGAAGATGAATATTCAAGGATTTCCATTAACGTGGCAGGAATAGATGCTGTGTCTGACCAAGAATTTATCTCCATAGTTCCATTATGCACTGTTTCTCCTGTCATCCCTGAAACCTCTCCAGCTTCCGTTGCTAGTTCCCAAACATGCTCTTTTTTGGAAAGGTCTCCTGTTCATCCCTCCCCACCGTATGGCCCTCCTCCACCCCCCCCTCCCCCTCCACCCCCGCCCCCACCTCCCCCGCCCATTCTACCCAAACCAGCCATTTATCCTAAAAGGAAGCCGCTGGTTAAAACGGCAATGACCACAGTTCCCGCCATGATGCCATCCATTAGTACTGTCAAGGTAGGGGAGACCTCTGCTGTAAAAACTAGCGTGTCTCCTGTCACAAAAATATGCACACCAACCCCGCCCCCCGTCCCCCCTAAGCCAGCTTTAATTCCAGCAGGGCTTGTATTCGCGCACAGACCTTCGGAAGTAATAAAGCCTCCTATTGCCCCTAAACCAGCCGTTCCTCAGCTACCCGTGTCCGTTTATAAGCCAACAGAAACACAGTCCAAGCCAGCAAGTCTGCCTTTTACCAGCCCCATGACTCTGAGCTTGGTTTCCCCTTCTGAGTGCAGATTGACCTCTCCTACCTCCCCGTCATTATCCAAATCCTCTCAGGAAACCTATGTTGTTATCACGTTGCCCTCTGAGCCTGGGACTCCAACTGAATCCATTACCAGCCAAGCCGTCAGCAGTTGGCCTGCGGCTTCCCCCTTTAAGGAACAGGCTCCAGAGGCTGTGCAGACCTCATTCATGCCGCCTGTAAGTTCGCTGCAAATGCAAAGTGCAACGGATCAAAGCAAGAGAATCCCGGATGCTTTGAATGCTGCTGCATCTATCCCTACCGGTACTACCGGACAGCCAATTTTTGGGATGATGCCTAAGTCCACTGCAGAACTAATAACATCGGGGATTGCCAGGACTACAGTGTCTTTGGTAAAAAATGCCAGTTTAGATAGTGTTTCCATAACGATGCCCCCAGACATAGTTCCTGTGGTAGAGAGAACTAAATACAGAGAAAACGGAAGATCCCGTGTCTTTGGGGACATCATGGATCTCCGTACCTTGACTAAGGCTAGCATTGACAGAGCAGATAGCTGTATGGACCTATCTGCCACTCCCACAGATGCGAGAAGACAGACGATGGCAGGTGACACTTCTGGGCAGTGGGTGAGCACAGTTCAGCCAGGGATCATAAATCTCAGCACTGTCTCCATGGTCAGCCTCTCTTTAGCTCCAGCGGCTGATGCCGTTCCGGTGGCGACCTGTGCCTCCGCTCTCAGTTACAGCGCAAGTATAGAAAGCCTCATAGACCTTGGCCATGGAATGGCAACTCCACTTCAGTTAACAACATCAAAGCCTTTTGAGCCCGGTCCTGGAATAATGGGGGGCCAGGCTCTCTTTTCAGGCAGAGAAGATGCTCCCATCAATCTCTCCCTGGGTACGCCAGCATCGGCACTCGCCTGGGCCGCCACAAAGGCTGCAACTGCACCTCCGCTTGGGGTAACTGACGGCCTCACCGCTTCTCCTGCTATGGACAGCGGGGTAGTTGACCTGAGCACTACAAAACCCTACAGAACAATGGTGACCGTTGATGAGACGACTTCGGGGTTTTTTACAACTGTAATAGAAGACGATGAAAAGCCTGTAGATTTGACTGCAGGGAAAAGGGCTGTTTGTTGCGATGTGATTTACAAATTGCCATTTGGGAGGAGCTGCACCGCTCAAGCCCCAGCAACCACCCTCCCGGAAGATCGTTTCGGCTACAGGGATGACCACTACCAGTATGGCCGCTCTGGGCCCTACGCTTACAGGGGGGCTGGGGGCATGAAGCCCTCCATGTCAGACACCAATTTGTCTGAGGCCGGGCTCTATCCGTATAAAAGCAAGAACGCCTTTGAGTACCAGGTTGGGGCGGCTGATCTAGCGGTAGACTTGACTTCTGGGAGAGTTACTACAGGTCAGTATGACAAGACGCTGGACTTTTCTTGGAAACTTAGTAACAACATTGCTCACCTCATTTCAGGATGATTTTTGCCTCTCTTTTTTTTTGCCTTTCCCCTTTTGTTTATGTTCCACAGTGGCAAATTTTGTTGGAATTTACCCATGTGTTTTTTTTTTCCAATTTTCATCAGTTGTTTTTTGGAAAGAGCTGCATGTACCCGCATGCTCAGAAAATGTTCTTTTTTTCTTCCTCTCCTGCCCAATAAAATGTTGAAGATTTGCATGCAGCTCCTTCCCGCTTTATTGCTCATATTTATCACTCATCTCTGTAGGCTGCTTTTCAGAGTCCAAACCAAAATTAAAGATGGCAATTTGGGGGAATGGACTATAACTTTCCCCTATAATTTCAGGTGAAATTATGGATTATTCAAGCAAGATTTCTGATCCCTATCCAGAGAGCCGGCATGTGATTTCTGGCATTAGTGCACCTCAGTATTCCCAAGCAAGAATGGCCTCCTCCTTAGGAGCCCCCTATGGAAGTGTGTTGAGATCCTCCAACGGGGTGGTTTACTCCTCAGTGGCAGCTCCGATCCCATCGACATTCGCTATCACCACACAGCCTGGCTCTATTTTCAGCACTTCAGTCCAAGAACTGTCTTCTCTTCATGCCGTTGATTCAGTGCCTTCCTTGCCAAACCTGCCACAGAGCCAGGCACTCCCAAGATCACTGCTATTTTTGACAACCGAAGCTTCTGAAAAAGACACCTCCATTGCTGACATTGACCCGGGAATACAACCTCTCCCTCTAGAGGCTATTGCCACTGAGCCAACGCTGCCTGTCTTCAGTACAGCTTCTGAAGCCTTCCTGGATGAAATTGAAGATGAAGGAATTGATCCCGAAGAAGACAAGCAGCAGCATATGGACATAGAACGTGAGCTTCTGGAGCTTGAGAAACTGAAGCAGCAGCGCTTTGCAGAAGAGCTAGAATGGGAACGTCAAGAAATACAGAGGTTTAGAGAACAAGAACAATTCATGGTTCAAAAGAAGCTCGAGGAACTGCATTCCATGAAGCACCACCTTCTCTATCAGCAGGAAGAAGAGAGGCAGGCTCAGTTCATGATGAGACAAGAAACATTGGCTCAGCAGCAGCTGCATATTGAACAAATCCAACAACTTCAACAGCAGCTTCACCAGCACTTAGAAGAGCAAAAAATCCACCAGATGTATCAATATAATTATGATCCTTCTGAAATGGTGTCCCCCAAAACGACCACCGATCAAGTCCTCCTCGATGGCCAATATGCTGCAAGCAGCCAGTTCTGGCCTGGGGAGGAGGTGATCACCACTTCCTCTGCCCTCCTGGGGATAGAAATTCCAGACAGCCAAGGCTGGTACGCTGTCCAGTCGGAGGGCATGACTCCGTACGTTCCCAAGCCAGGGACGTTCAGTTCCGTTTCTGAGCTATCTCTTAAGGATGTGGATGTGAGAGAGGAAAAGCAACTGAAAAAGAAGAGCTCCACCCCAAAGCTGCACGGCCTTTATGGGGAGCACGATGAAGGCACCGAAGGTGAACCCAGGGGCCTTAAAAAGATAGTCGAGAGCGGCGTCCAGACGGATGATGAGGATAGTGCAGACTTAGGCTATGCAGACAGGAGACGCAGAACCAAAAAGAGCGTTGACACAAGTGTCCAGACGGATGATGAAGACCAAGATGAATGGGATCCCACCAACAGATCAAGAAGAAAGGCCCGTGGAGGGAAATATGAAGGGAGCGCGGAAGTGGATAAGGCCAAACCCTTTTCCAAGGTCTCCAGTATTGCGGTACAGACCGTGGCAGAGATATCTGTGCAAACTGAACCTGTCGGAACCATAAGGACTCCATCGGTCAGGGCCCAGTTAGATGCAAAGATAGAAATAGTGAAGCACATTTCAGCTCCAGAAAAAACGTACAAAGGAGGAAGTTTGGGATGTCAGACAGAAACAGATTCAGACGCACAGAGCCCCCCGTATCATAAAGCCACTTCCCCTCAGAAAGATAAAAAGCGCCCAACGCCATTAGAAATAGGCTATTCATCCCACCTTCATCCTGAAAACGCCCTTCAGGTAGCTCCTTCAGCTCCTAAATCTCCCAAAGTCCTCTATTCTCCCATTTCACCTGTTTCTCCAGCTGCGGTCATGGAATCGGCCTTTGTGCCCTATGAGAAGCTGATGGCTGAAGAGACGAGTTCTCAGAATATGTTTCATGCCGATGTGCCCACCGGTGCTCAGCTGAGCCCAGAGTCGGCCAAGGGGATCCAGCGGTCTTTGTCGGACCCGAAGCCTCTGAGCCCCACGGCTGAAGATCTCCTCTCCAGAGCTCATTTCCAGTACGCGGATGGCTTCCTGGTAAGAAGGCTTCCTTCTCCTCTTTGCACTGAATCGTTGTGCTCTACATTGTAGTAATGAGCATTGCTTTGTTAACTGTCTGGAGTAGATGAAATGTTTATTCAACAGTTTTGTAAGCGAAGGCCTGTCATGTTAGAAACCAGGATAAGTTTACTTTAAAAATGGAATTAATACTGCAAGAAATATGCTATTGATATTTCACTGAAGAAAGAGATAGTCTTTCTAATAAGAGCATCTAATTGCAGTATCTACTTTATTTAAAGTTGAAAAGAGATATATAGTCCTTTTTTATTTACATAATTAACTTATCAACATTTTTCTTTGTACATTTGGTCTATTTTTAAAAACTTAAATGTATTCACATCACAAGGACACACTTGTATGTACACTAGCCTTTTTCTTTCCAAGTTTTTTTCCTCCTCTGTGTTCAGTAAAGGGGTTGTAATTAAGTACAGTTCCTTAAACTCATGGAATATATGGAGCATGTCTACTTTTGCAGAAAGATGAGTTGCCAATGATTTGCTCAGTTTCAGTTTTGTTGGTTTTGTGTGTTCTACTTCTCCAAGAATGTTAAGTCGGGTCCAGCTGAGTTCATCTTATGAGCTAAAAATCACCATAATCAGCAGCGGAATATTTTGGAGGTCCTTGTGTGAAGAGTATCCTTGGTATCTGGCAGGCAATGTCACTCCGATCTGCTCTGTGGACAGTTCCAGTGGAGGTGCCTGGAGCATGGATTTCTGGAGGGAGCTTCCAGCCGTGCCTCCCATGGAAGGGGATACGGTGCTCCAGATTGTAAGATCAGCCATCCATGAGTTAGAGGCAGGTTGATCAATGCCACGTGGGAGGTGATCTGTCATAGGATCCATGCAGTGATTTCTGCTTCTTTGAGTGGGGTCTCAAATCCCCCTTGGTCTTGAAAGAGGAGAATCCACACCCACTCCTTAAGAGATCATCAATTTTTCCCCCCTGTCTCCAATCTTTCATATTCAGGGAAGTTGTAGAGTGGGTAGGTGCTAAAGCCAATACTCCTCTATTTTTTAAAATGTTTGTTTGTTTGGCTGTTTGTTTATTTATTTAAATATATATATTTTGGGGCAGCATGTGCAACAAGCTAGGGCAAAAGCAATAAATATTGCTTGATTTTTTTTTGTCCGTTTAGAAATCCAGAGTGACTGGATGGTATTTTCTGGGAAATTATTGATTTATTTAGCTAATATGGGCCAAATTCATTCTGTATTTCAAACAAATCAATTTGATTCAGTTGTTCCAAACTAATATGTAGTTTTAAACATATTCATTCCCCCCCCTGTACTTCTCAGAATTTTGTAACGTAATCCTCAATCTACCTCCAAAAGGGGTTTTAATCCCAAATTTTTTGTGCATTTTTAAAAATCATAAATACTAAAAATAGAATACAATAGGGATAAAAATATACATATGAAGAACTATTAAAAGCCAAAAACAATCAAAGGTGTGAAGTCTGCTGAATGAAGACCATTAGAAGCCAACCTGATTTGCAGCAAGAAAGTGAAGCCTGGTCTTAGCGAATGGTATTGGGGTAAACTACTTATAGCTCGATTTTCATTTTCTTATGTCAGGCATTTAATTGTTTTAAACTATTATTTTGGCTTAGCGTTTTTCTCCTTTTTTGTGTGTTCTGTTTAACATTACTTGCCTTCCAAGGGAATTGTATGAAAGATGCAAGCCAGAATTAACGATTCCCATTAGGTATAGTTTCTAGAATGTATAAATTGAAGGTAGGTAAGGCATGTTCCTATCACTCATGGGAAATGTTTCTTCACAGATATTGCCTAATGCTAATCTTCTCTCTGTTCTTCCACTTCTAGTATATATGCTCAAACTTTTGTAGACATTGATGATGTTTTGGCAGTTGAATAAAGTAGGCAAAATCACACTTTTTTGTGCCACCCTAGTCTCTTCAATTTGCACAACAGTCTTACGTTCTAATAGAAGACAAGGATTTCTGCAGGCCTAAAATATTATGGATGATCAGGTCATGAACTGATTCTGCTGTCCCACAGCAGCATCCTATGTATCTTAATCCACGTTCTTGTTCCCAGCGGTGGCAAGGCAAATGGTTCAATAAATCCCCAAAGAGTCCTTCCATAGTGCTGGCTCTCCAGTTCCCCATAGAAAGACATTGCCTCTGGCATGGCAGGCCCATTCTGCTCAATGGGTAAAAGAAACTGATAGATCCCTTCTTTATGAATCTTATTGATTCACTTTTAAAACTGTCTAGAACAATGATAAACATTTTATTCTGTGAGCTCCATAAGAGCTCAGTAAATTGTATCACGTACGTTGAAATACTGATGGGTGACATGTTGTGCTATCCGTTTCCAAAACGATGTATCTTCTCTGTTTCTGTGTGTGCAGCAGGCCAAAGAGACTTCGGGGGCCGCAGCATCATCGGGACTGCAGAAGAAGGTCAAGAGAACGCTACCCAACCCACCTCCCGAGGACCTTTCGGTAGGGACACAACCGGCCTTCTCCACCGTGGGATCAGTTTCACGCCGGAGGATATGCAGAAGCAACACAATGGCCAGAGCTAAAATCCTCCAGGATATCGACAGAGAACTAGACTTGGTAGAACGAGAGTCTGCTAAGCTTCGCAAAAAACAAGCAGAGCTGGACGAGGAAGAAAAAGAAATAGACGCAAAACTCCGCTATCTGGAAATGGGCATAAACCGACGCAAGGAAGCCCTGCTGAAGGAAAGAGAGAAGAGGGAGAGAGCCTACTTGCAAGGGGTAGCAGAGGAACGCGATTATATGTCCGACAGTGAAGTCAGCAGCACCCGGCCGGCCAGGGCAGAATCCCAGCATGGCCTGGAAAGACCGAGGACTGCACCCCAAACAGAATTCGATCAGTTCATACCCCCCCAGACACAACCAGAAACTCAGTTTGCAACCCCTACGAGTCCTTACACGCAGTACCAATACTCTTCCCCTGCCCTTCCTACTCAGGCACCCACACCCTACACGCAGCAATCCCATTACCACCAGCAGCAGCCTTTATATCAACAGCAGGTTTCGCCCTACCAGACCCAAACCGTGGTGCCCGTGTCCTTCCCTCCCCAGGCTCAACCCCCACCAACATTACAACCTTCCTATCAGCTCTCCTCTCCGTTGATGATGATCCCACAAAAGGCAAGGCAAACTTCATTATACATGGAACCCAAGATAACAACAAACTATGATGTCATCCGTAACCCGTCTCTCATGATAGCGCCCGCGTCCTCTGATAGCGCCTACTCGGTGGCTCATCTGGGCAGCAAGTATAGCACTTTGGATCTGAGGCTGGGACTGGACGAGAGGAGCAGCCTGGCCAGCAGCCCCATCTCCAGCACCTCCGGCGACTCCTTCTATGCAGACCTTGAGCACCACAGCACACGCGGTTACGCGCTGCTGGATGATATGGGGGATCTCACCAAAGAAGGGCCAACCCTGAGTTCCGCCTATGGGCTGCACGAAAAGGATCTCAGCAAAGCCGATAGGCTCCTTCGGACCACTGAGGCCCGGAGAGTGCAAGAGGTCCCAGATTTCCTCTCGTCCCTGCAAACGTCTTCCAGGCTGCACAGCTACATGAAGACCGATGAAGACACAATGGAGGATCCCTATGAACTGAAACTTCTGAAGCATCAGATCATGCAGGAGTTCCGAAGTGGCACAGAAAGTATGGATCACTTGGCTGGCCTTTCCCACTATTATCATGCAGATACGAGCTACAGGCATTTCCCCAAGTCCGAGAAATACAGCATCAGCAGGCTGACTCTGGAAAAGCAGGTGGCTAAGCAGCTCCCAGCAGCCCTTCTTTACCAGAAGCAATCCAAGCATAAAAAGGCTTTGATGGATCCCAAATTATCTAAATTCTCACCCATTCAGGAAAGCAGAGACCTCGAGCTTGATTATTCAACTTATTTGGCTTCCAGCACCTCTTCGGTTGGGAGCATCACCTCCAAAGCAAAACTCCTCCAAGATGACATAACATTTGGCCTCCGGAAAAACATTACAGACCAGCAGAAGTACATCGCTCCCACTCTGTCTCATTCCCTGGGAACGAGCCTTGGCGCAGCGCTGAGTGTCTCCATGAGGTCGGCTTTGCAGGATGAGGTGGACAAATCTTACACCGGCGCTACCCGATCTAGACCATCTTCCAGGCCGTCCTCTGTCTACGGGCTCGACCTGTCGCTCAAACGAGACTCTTCCAGCTCTTCTTTAAGGTTGAAAGCCCAGGAAGCCGAACCCCTCGATGTTTCCTTCAGCCACGCAGCTCCTTCTGGAAGAACTAAGCCTACCAGTCTACCCATAAGTCAAAGCCGAGGGCGGATTCCAATAGTCGCACAGAACTCAGAAGAAGAAAGTCCATTAAGTCCAGTGGGGCAGCCAATGGGGATGGCCAGAGCGGCCGCTGGGCCACTGCCCCCCATATCTGCAGACACCAGGGATCAGTTTGGCTCAAGCCATTCCCTGCCCGAAGTCCAGCAGCACATGAGGGAGGAGTCACGCGCTCGGGGCTACGACCGAGATATCGCCTTCTTCATGGACGACTTCCAGCACGCCATGTCAGATAGCGAAGGTAAACCAGACTTCAGGCCGCCTTCTCCATTTCACAGCACAAACCCTAATTTTATGCATGTGTCTGATTTCAACATCTCTTGGGAAGTAGGGGGACTTTTTAAAAAAACACCTCTCTACATTTTTGTAGATGCAAATATGTCTGGAGTGTGCAGGCATGTTCTTCTCCGCTCGCTGTACATTGGCAGACTTGGATTTTGTCGCTTTTGTTTGCATGCGCATTTTTCTTTGCTCTTTCCTGGTATGTTCAGAAAGTCGTCCCCCTCCCCCCCCCACGGGACTGGTTTAATGGATGAGGTCTTTAGGGCGCTATTGTTAAGGATGAGAAACCACATTATTGATTGTAAGAACGTAATCAACACAAGCTCTTGATTAAACACAATTTCACCATTGACTCCCTTACCTCTGAGCTTCAAGCCTCCCTTGCTTCTGTGCCGCCTTGCCTGCCGTAATACGTTATCGTCACCTGTCCCTGCATTACTGAGGCCTGATGGGCAGCCAATGGTTGCAGGTAGAGCTGGATCCCAGGAGGAACAAAACACCCTCTAAGCAGTGGGTTCCCTCTTCCTCAGCAGGGGGTGGAGGATCAGCCCCCATCCCCTCTTGCTCTGCAGCCCCCTTTGGAGGTCACCATGCTGGACCGGGAGCTGAGAGGGGTGGGGGACGTGGGCCTGACTGCTGTAAGAAAGCTGTTTAGCAAAGACTTGGAATGAGAAACTACAGCAGCGGTTTTAAGATGTGCAAAAGTGGAGTTCTCACTTAAGATGAAACAAATGGGTGTGGAATCCCCTCACTACGAATGAAGCTCACGAGTTGGTTGGGGTTTGTCAAATGTCAAGAACTGAAGATATCACTTACATACAGATATGTAACTTGTATCTGTAATTTCTTAGGCAGCAGGTAGATTGGTCGTTTTCAGTTTTTCTCTGTTGACCCAATAAAATCTTTTCCATTTTGGAAGACTAGACGTTTAAAATAATGAATACAAACAGCAAACTTTACCCATCTATCAATGCAGATTTTGGTTGCATTACTACATGCCATTTCACTTACTCTGTAGGAGCCAGATCAACTTGTTAAAAATTGGTTTTTTTTTTAATCTCTGTCTATAGACGCTAAATCTTAAAGGAACCATATAATATTTCACTGGCAACTGTGTGTTATGCATATATCCACTTTAACTGAATGCAGCTGCTCAGTGAAGATTGTTACAAGGCCCAAGACTTAGTTTACAATAAATATAACTACGGTAAACTAAAGAAGGATTACCAACGCCATAAAAAGACCCAGCTTTTTACTGGGGGGGGGGGGAATACATGGGGATCCTGTTTTATTGAAATATGTATGTATGTATGTATGTATGTCATGTGGTAAAGGAGATATGAATTTTGATTTCATTGCTGCAACTTAGAAAAGCTCTTTTGCCCAATTCTGTAATCTTAGAACTCCTGGAAGCCAATGCTTGATGGTGGATGCTTTTATGTTAGCCTTATTATGAAAATTACTAAAAGGGAT